TACTGCAAACAACCACTCAGTGAGATAAACATGACTACAAAAATTATCAAAAACTTCAATGATATCTGGCATAGCCAAAGTCTGAACATGAGTTGTCCATTTTTGGTTTTTACATTGCGATAAAGAATTGCCTTATTCTTCTTTGTTTTAGAATAAAATGCAGCAAATCTCTTTTTAAATAACACCTTTATTTACTTTGGAAGGTTCTGACTAATTTATAATATACACAGTCATAATATCTATAGATGAGTATAATGCTTTTCCTGTAGTATTATTCCTTAACAAAATGGTCGTCTAGTATTTGAGAGATCTAAAGCAGAGAAGAATACTTTACAATAATTTACTACTAACGAAAATATAAGGAGTAATTTAGAATAATTTACGACTAACGAAACCTTCGAATGAATACCTAAACAATCTTGCCATTTCTATTCATGCGATCAATATTTACCTACATAAAAGTATCATCTAAACACCTGCAGTGTCACTGTTCCAAAATCCATTTCCCCCTTTTTAAATATCAAAAACGAATTAGAAGAAAGGTTGCAAGACGTCTCGGGTAATTTATCATATGGTATATTTTATTTTAAAAAACTACATGTCCGTTATATACGGTCTCTACAAGGAATCCACGTAGCTCGAAGCTTCCCCTTAGTCGTGAAAAGATTATTGGTCGCCAGCTACTATAAAAGTTCTTTAGTAGGGTGCATGTTGGGGAGAAATTACGACAGTGGGACCAATGGCGTGTATTTCTTCGGAGGGATGCTACCGGGACCCTCGTCGCGAATCGTAAACCCTCCGATGGACCAATGAGAGCCACCATTTTCGCGCCCCAACCGCGGAACCTAACCCCCTTGCTTCTTGAACTCCACTCGTTCGACGCGTAATGGCGAATATTTCGCAGCTGATATACTCGAACGACTTTCATCAGACGTTGGTTGTCTTAAATTAATCCCGTAAAAAGTGACGGTCAAGAAGGGAGACCAAGAGACTGGTTCTCTCCCAGAGAATAAAGCTTTTAATGTATCACCTGGAATGGAGTCTGGTGAACGAGAGTAATTCCAAATTGCTTTCTGCTCCTTCTTGAAATTCTGATCGGAGTTCAATCTTATTTATTATGGAATTTGCTACACAAATCGGTTGTTCAAGTGGTCTTCTTTAAGAATGTACGATAAAAAATGCACATGATGGCTTGCAACAGTTTCGTCACACATATTCCTCGCCATCTTTGTTCGGTGACTAGGAAATTCGTGTAATAAAGTGCTACTGTATCATTAGAAAGGTAGTAAAAATTTAATAAGAAGAATATTTTCATCCGAAACAGACATTTCTATACGTTTAATACGTGTAATGAAATAATAAACTGACTATAAACTTCTGTACGTCGTCTGGTAAAATGACCTATGTAATCCAAATTTGCCTATGCTTCTTGTTGCTTGTATGTATCGTAGAATAGTTACTTGAGTACATTTTCTTTAATGCACTTGGCTTAAATGTATTTGTGTGGAATACAAGTTTGAAGTTTTTGTATAAAGCACGGAATCTTATACAGGCTGAAGCACATAACGCTTTTTTTTTAATATCAGATTTCTTGAACTTATTTTTCGAGAGACCTCAGCGATTTAGTCTAACTTCTACAGTGTTACAGTTCTCACTGTTGAGGCTTTCCGGTGTAAGCCGTGTCCTTGTGAAATTGTTTTTCCAACGTTTCGCAATCATTGCAGCTAGCTTCATCAGGGGGTCGAAGACACACTGATACTGGTACTTTTGATTTGAAATGAAAACTACAAATAAAAAGAGCCAATATTTATTCCAAATAAAATAACAGATAAGTTTATTTGAAAATAAGGATGTATGCAAATAAATTCCAAAATCTTATTTCAGAAATAAATTATTTATTTGCAGTCTAATTGATTTATTTGCCAAATATTTGGTTATTTAAAATAATAATGCAAAATAAAAAATAATAGATTTTCGTATATAATGAATATATTTGTCATTGTAAATTAAAAAATATATTGTTTTTTCGAATCTGCACAACCTCGGTGAAATCGGTATGGAACACTTCGGAGGTTTATTTTTATTTTATTACTAATAATTCTATGATATATGTACATTGCATATATTTGTAGCATCCTGAAAACGGGTATTAACGAGCCATTCCACGTCGAAACGCACAGAACTGCGATCTTAATGACCGATTTTTTTCAAATTTGCAGCATTTGTTAGTAACCACAAGAAACTAAATTGTGTAAAATTTTAGTTTCTAATCTTGAACCGTTTCCGAGAATTTCCCTTGCGGGAAGTTACCGTAATGAGCCATCTCGTGGCCGTGGGATTCCGGGAATCGGGTGACGTCACGGCGTGCGAGCGAGAGCGATAGAGCGAGCCGCAGTATCGGTGCTCTCCGTCGGTGTGACGCGTGCTGAGGAATTTCAGTGGTCTATGAGGGGTGGTGTGCGAGCGAGAGAGTACGATAGAGCGTGCCATGGTATCGGTGCTCTCCGTCGATCCGAAGGTCGTTCAAACCGGCAAAAACAATTCAACACGAACAAACCTGCGTACGCCCAATACATAACTGCGTTAGCTTCCTCACTTTCTCGTGAGACGTCGCGGAGGGTGGTCGCGCGTCTCATACTCGTCCTTTCTCTTGTTACTAACCCATTGTTTGTTGCAGGCATTCGACAACCATCAATTTATTTACTGTGCATATTATTAATCTATTTACTGTGCATATTGTTGTGTCCCCTCTCTTCTTACTAATCCCTTGTATGTTACAGATGTTCGAGAACAATTGGCTTCGATATTTATTTTCTTATGTACTGTGATTCATTTACTGTGATTTATTTACTGTGCATATTATGTATTCTATGTGTATTGTATAATGAAAAATATTTTTCCAAACAGTTATTCCATCGAAAGAAGACATCGATCAACGTCTACATCTTCAAAGCGTGCGTCTACCACTGCGTTAAGTTACTGTAAGTTAAACTTAAATCATAATTCGATATTCATTGTTATATTCATATTCATCATCACATCGTTTATTATTAATTTTAGTCTATCTATTAATAGACTTAAATTGTGATCAGCCATTGTGCATACCAAGTTATTATTAATTCATTTTGCTCGTTGATTTCTCTACACAGACTTGGGGTATGGGCAGTGGGTCTGTACCTATTATGGTACGGGCAGTGGGCCTGTGCACTAAGACTGTTTGCCGATCCCTCTGGTTTCTATTGAGAAGCCAGATATCGGACGTGTTTAGTCTTTGCCTGGTAAGTAGGATTTGGAGTAAAGGCTCGTGCGCGCCTGGGTACAACGTACCCGCCTACGGAGTAGACGGGAGTCTGCTCCGTAAAAGGACTCTGTTTTACAGGGGATCTCGCTTGCACTACCATACTTGGTCATGACCTGTGCTCGGGTCTGGTACGTAGGTGACCAGCCCAAAGGGCCTGGAAAGTGAGAGATGGATTCGGGTTTGCGAGGTTGCGCCCGTCTTTCCTATTTTCTTAAACCAGGTTCTGGCGACAACACTTTCATCGCGATACTTGTTCATACTGTAGTTTAACGTGGTTCATCGTAGAATTAATTTTTGGCTTGGTATATTAGGTGCGTAAACGAAATGATCGATGGAACTTTTTCCATTCCGTCTATCTCTTTCGTTTGAGTATTAGCGACTACATTGCGTTAAATTTGTTATTTCGTATTACTAGCATTAATTCGTATTAATTAGAATATTAAGATAATATTAGTTCTAAGCTGAAGAACGAAGACAACCGACGAGGGAACTTAGTTTTTTATAGGTTTAGGCTCAAGAAAGAAGTCATCCGCCGAGGGATTTTAGTATCGGTAGTATTATATAGTTAAGATTTAAGTAATTTATAAGGTTTATTGTGAAAGGTGGGTAGATGTAGAACTTGTGATTCCATCTACTTGCCTTGGGCCTCCACTCGCAGCAACCTCCTCGTGGTGAGGCCTGGGCAATCGGTATTGTCATCGGTAAAGTACTGTAAACTGAAGACAATATCGAGCTAATGGCTGCGAACTTCGAATCTATCTCATAAAACCACGTTCTATATTACATCGAACTAGGATTATTTTAGAAATCGATATGAGATTCAAAGTGTAAAAATGTCTAGTACTTTGAATGTTTTAGAAAATTATTCGAGATAAAGATGTATGGAACTACTGAAAATTACTTTAGATTCCTTTTCCTTATTCTGTAAATTCATTGATTGGAATATGAATGCTAATGGAAGTATGAACATTTTCACAAGACAATGATGTAAATGGAACTGTAAAACTTTTTTAAGTGTTACAGCTATATTTCGTTGGCCTTCGTATTAGCGCACTGCGTCGAACGCGGATAGCATGATGTAGTCGCAAGGGAGCAATTGAATCGAATAGATGTATTGTACCGTAGCGCATCGTATTGTATTTCAAACTTTTATATCATTATAATTTATATGTATATATGTATATTCCAATAAACATACATCAGGTAATATAAGCTTCATTTCATCGAATTGTCTTAAATATAACTGCATAAACAGTGTACAATCTTATACTAATTATAGTTGTCTGGTTCAACAGGTTACTACAGAAACTAACTACTGCCTACGTCTTTTAAACTTGGGCTGTAGTAGTATCTGCAAATGTGTACTGACACAAGCCATTTCACTACTGTTCAATGTCCCGTAATCTACATGTAATAACAACAGATTGAATCCGGCAGAGGACTACTGCAAATTATTACACACGTCTATGGGTACTACTAGTTACGGTTTCTTTGCTTGACTTTGTAAATTCTCTTGCAAAAGTGCTAATTCATATAAACAATACAATGATCATTTTAGTAAATAATGAAACTATATGTTCATATAAAAAACGTTCGTTTACATTTAAATAATGTAATATTCTATGTATCGATATATCGAACTCTTCTGACGGTTGTCAGAGTCAGAGGTCGCCGGTGATTCCCATTGGCCTGAGCTGAGCGTCGTCTGGTCTGACCATTTGTCGTCTGGCGAATGGCGATGGTTGTGTCGTTTCGTTGACTTGTTACTATTGGAAAAATGTTAATTTCACGGGGCGTACAGCTTTTAAAAACCGTCTCCCATCGGAAACCTGTGAAAGGTGCCTTGATTAATTCAAATCAGATCCGCCTAGAGTAAGTTCATGTGTCTATTACATAATCTTCTCAAGTAGAGGTTATGTTTAGAAATTTTCGTTTTCACTTATATTTCACGAACACGAACTTCGAGTACTAATTTGAATTTAATCAGTGCTTGTTTATTGCTTCAATTTTATGTTGAAATATAAAATCTAACTTAGTATTCAACTTTGTCACTGATCGTTTCTTGGGACATACAATCATACTATTATAAAGACTTTTTACAATTTGTTAGATGGATGTACCGTGAAGTAAAACATCCACCTGCAAGGGATAAAATACTATCAGAAATCTGTGGTGCAGTATTATGGTGGTGGGTACTATGGAATCTGTGGCATGATTGGAGGGTTCTTGTTGAGGCAAGTTACGTTTGTGATTTATTAGATGTATAAGATCTATTGCTTCTTAAGGTCAAACATTCATACACATACACTTGTGATGCCTAACTAAATTTAGGATCTTAATTTTATTTCTTTACATTCTTACATTAAAAAACTCAATATAGTAGAAAATTGAAAAGTTGACTGTAACGGATAAAGAAATTATAACAAATAAATTAGTTTGAAACATTAAAATTCTATGCGTATCTACACACACTTGTAGTTACTTTGTTAATATACTTTTTCCTACTTCTAGGGTCATCTACCAGCTCCAATTCCCGAGCATTGGACAGATGAGGAATTAGGAATTCCACCAGAATAAATAAACAATATAGGTAGACTTTCTTTACAAATACAGTATCACAGGCTTTAAGTACCTTATAAAGCCATCATTGCACCCAAAAATGTATAACTGACTATCCACTAAGGATACAGCACGTGATACTTAACTTCTTTGTAAAATATTGTTTCCCAAAATAAATTGTTTTAGTAAATTATTGGGAAAGTGCTACAATTATTCAAAAACGCATTATTAGATAATTCATAATAGTATTCGATATTGATTTAATCAAAAGAATACTGAGGATTAAGGAATATATATACACAACAAAATTATTAAAATGAATATTTACTTAAAACCAACATAACAAAACAGTATATTTAAATGTTCACGCACGTTTTTCTTAGTTGCGTGTTGGCACCTTGATAGTCACAGTCTTGAGCTCGAGATATTCCTTTATTCCTTCAGCTCCCCTAGAAACATATCAATAAAGATTTACAATGTCTTGTTTTTGCAATTATACTCAGCAAACAATTTCAAACTTACAGTTCGCGACCAATGCCTGACTCTTTGAATCCGCCAAACGGAGTTTGATTTGCAATGGCGTCATAGCAATTCACCCTGTCAAATATTTACATCATTTACAAATTTTCTGCAATTCGTATACTTAACGAACAGAATACTTATGCTCGTTATCCTTACCAAACACTGCCAGATTCCACTGCTTGAGCAAACACCAATGCTTTATCGATATCTTTGGTGAGCACGCCAGCTGCAAGGCCGTATTTAGTATTGTTCGCGCGTTCAATAACTTCGTCCATGGTTTCAAATTTCAGAATGGACTGAACAGGTCCAAATATTTCCTCCTTGGCAATATTCATATTGTCGGTGACGTTAGAGAAAACGGTAGGCTGTAACCAATATTGAACTTTAATTCTAAAATTTTATGTAGAAGTTCATTAAACTAACAAGAATTGGGATGTGCGATTCTACCTTAATAAAGTAGCCAACTTTGCCCATTCGTTCCCCACCAGTTTCCAAGACCGCGCCTTGTTCTTTTCCAGACTGAATCAATCCCAAGACCTTATTGAACATTTCTTCGTCGATTTGTGGTCCCTGTTGTGTTTCCGAATTGAAAGGATCGCCAACTTTCCTTTGAAGTGCCAACTGCTTGGCGTGATTGACGAATTCGTCGTAGATCTTGACATGTACAAAAGTACGCGAACCAGCGCAACAGTTTTGTCCATGGTTAGCGAAGACAGCATTGTGAGCTATTTCTGCAGCTTCCTTGACTACAAATCATTTTTAATTATTCATTGCATTAATAAGTAATTTACTACTTTTTTAATAAGGTGGCAATATAGCGTAAATTCAAATTATTTTTCCAATATTTTTTTTCGTAAAAATGTAAAAACAGATAATTAGTACACCTAAAAAAAAAAGTAAAACAAATAAATTACATTAAAATGTGTCATTGACATACCATCAAAGTCATCAAAAACGACCAGAGGACTTTTGCCACCCAACTCGAGACTAACGCGCTTGAGGTTGGTCCCACCGGCAGCTTGCATTATTAAGTGACCAACCTAAAGAAAACACTTTTAGTAATTTCAATTAAATTTAGAATTAAATGAGAAGTCGACAATTAGTTACATCTGTGGATCCAGTGAATGCAATTTTACGAATGTCCGGATGTTCAGAAATAGCTGCACCAGCAGTTGGTCCATATCCTGTGATAACATTTACAACACCTGGAGGAAATCCAGCCTCCTTAACAAGTGCAGCGGCATAAAGCGCAGACAACGGCGTTTGCTCAGCCGGTTTCAGAATGATAGTACATCCAGTTGCCAATGCTGGGGCCCATTTCCACACCAGCATAGCAAAGGGATAGTTCCAAGGAATGATTTGTCCTACTACACCAACTGGTTCCTTCCGTGTAAAAGTGATGTAGTTTCCATCTAAGCAATAAGTTTCATTCAGACATTGTATGAGATGTTCCATTAAAAGTAATATTTTTCATTGAACTGAATTAAAACTCAAGCTAAAGGGTTTTCTAAAAATGTGTTTAACGATCAACCAAGTTATAAGTAATTGATCTGAAAGTGGGTAAATGTACCTGTTGGAATGGTATCACCAGTGATTTTGTCACACCATCCAGCATGGTAACGTATCGCACTTGCGGAGTAATACACCTCAGGAAGTGTATTTGTGAATGTTTTACCAGTGTCCATAGTTTCTAGAGTAGCAATGTATTCTGCATCACGTTCCATAAGGTCTGCAAGCTGTTACAAAATAATAGTAAGAGACTATACAAATAAGCCATACTCAGATCTTCTTGTAAGCATTTTGAAACTATACAAAGAGAAACATACTTTGTTCATTAACTTTGCACGTCCAGATGCATTCATGTTTCTCCATTTTGATCCTCGACTGAATGCTTGCTTTGCAGCTGTAACTGCCTTGTCCACATCAGCCTATGTAACACATAATGAATACATAGTGAAACTGATTGATATAATGAAAACCACAGAATCACAGTAAAACCAAAAGTATGATTTAACCTTGTCACCCTCTGCTACCTCAGCAATAACCGTTCCATCAGCTGGATTTATAGTGGTAAACTTTTTCCTACTCACAGCATCCACAAACTCGTTGTTGATGAACAACTATAAACAAGTTTGGCATTAACAAAACTCACATGATACCTATAGTTGTTATCTATACGAGTATTACTACAATATGTTCATTATCTGTCCCGAAAAACACTTGAAAAAAAAACATTTAAATCTAATCTCACAAAACAGTAATCTTGTACCTGATTATATTTGATATGAACTTTGCGTGTCATCTTCGCGTCCGCTCTGTTTGCCGGCCGGTTTACAAATGATCCGGGATACGTTCGCAACACGGCATTAAATACACCGTCGTTTTCTGATAGCAGATAAAGCTATGTAATAATATGTTTGTTTGTATAACTCGTTATTTTTAGATCGACGGATGCGTATCTTCTATAGGGTCGTGCGAATCCGATTAATCGGATATTTCGGAACAGAAAGGATGCAGAATCGAACCGAACTGACTGGAAGATTTTACGTCGTAAATAATCATTTTCAGTACACGCGTACACGTGCAATGTTATATCGAGTGACTTTAGTTTAACATACAAATAATCCTATCATTATTAGTGCACGTGGAGGGAGAAGCAGCGAAATAAGAACGTCGAATAGTCACATTTGCTACAATTATTGAAGATAAAAGCTTTTAAAGTTTTGAAACTAAACTCCATATATTCATTTAATGTAGAAAATTACAAACAATCCCATAAAGGAAAATATATACACGTGTACACGTATACATATGCTTTTAATACACGTTCAGAATCACGACCTCTAAGTTCAGACGCAATTTCTTAAATATATACATACAATGCTTATGTACTTTAATTGAGAGAATATGTACTTGTTTGTCCATGTCCGTTTAAACAGTCCGATTTGCGGCAAAAACGACATTACAGAATTTTTTCACTTGATAACATTACGTCGAATTTAGAAACGTTGAAAGTTATTGAAAGATTAATAGGAGTTATAATTATATACGATTGGCAATATTATTTTGAATAAAAATGTACATTATTTATAAATTAAAAATCACAAGAAAATACAAACTTCAATATATTTTAATGAAATATCTCTCATACGTACATACAGCCCAATAATAATGATTACACGCGTCTCAATTGTATGTACAGTAATAAATAAAACAACAAGAACTGTAAAGGTGACAATAGATGGTAAAAGAAGAGAAGATAACAAAAACCAATAACATGAAGGCGAGCAAGGACAAGGTTCAGCGTATAACGAAAGTTGTTAAATATAACCCGAAACGTTTGTAATGTTGTGTCTTTAAATCATTAGTAAAAAAAAGTAGCATATCAGGTTTAAAAAATCCCATTCTACGTAGTTGCTGCGGTTTATTAAATCGATGAATCCCGGTGTCGCTTCTCAAGGAAACACCGCTGGTGGCAATCGTTCGTGGTCTCAATCGAGAAATTTTGTACTGCCCGAGAAAGAATTTAAAATATGATTTCGAGTTGCATGTTAAACAAAATTGTGTCGATAATTGTCTCAGAAGATTATCTGCGTAGACAGACGTCCTTGGCGTCCTATCGAATTTAATCCCCTTTAATCGAAAGAAGTATTTGTTATGGACTCAACAAGGGAACCGTTGGAGCAGCATCTGCACAGTGGAACCGGTGATGCGGTGAATTCATTAATTTCAATATAATTATTCACACAACTGTTATGTTACAAAAAGTTGTACAAGCAAAGTTTAAAGAATGAATACTACAAACTGCCGTGGTTGTAAAAAACTTCAACAATCATTTGGACGAATCAGAGAGTTAATATTTCTTAAAATATGAAATGAAGTTGTATTGAGCAACATTGAAATCATTATCCACAATCGTTTAAACTTTCGTAATTGTATATCTTCTTTAACGAGTAAACGAATACAGAAGTATTACCAGTAACTGCTAGAAACGTCATTCTGACATTCTTCAGGCATTAGAAGTGTAGTAACAAAATTTTAGTTTACATTTAAATCGTCCACGATTCAATTCATTCCATGCCTAATCACGCCAGTTGGAATTATCTACAAACGTTCCCCGGATAATTCTCTTTTTACCTAATTTTCGTCAGCCCTGTCCCATGATGGAACGCACCAAGGGCGAACCAGAACACAGGCCACCTCCCTACCTTCCTCAACCAGGAGACGAACTTCCGGCGCAACCGGGAGGATCCATGGATCCTATTGGTCCGTGGGCCACCGGCCGAGTGACTTTCACGCCAAAGGATGGTTTAACAGGCGTGAGACCCGTTCACGACCGCTATTCTGTGACCCAATTTGGCGCGCCACAATGGAGGGCCCACAATCTGAAGTTTTTTCAGCAGTCGAGCGAGAAGATTCGTGACGCACAGTAGAAGACGAACATTTATTTTCAAATGGTATTTGCTCCGATAGCGCCCCACATGTTTCACTTGCAGATAAGTTTTTATTCTCAGTCGTGGAGGATACTCATCCGATTGTTCTCAAAGACATCGCCAAGTTCCCAAAAAGTATACCATATTTCCGTACTGCCCGTCCAGGTTTAAGGATCGAGCACTATCGGAGCAAATACCGTGTTCCTCGATAAAAATCCGGACTTTCGTCCCTTTTACCGCGTTAAAAGTAACGAAATAAAACAATGATATCGCAGGCTCGCGATACACAAAGCGAAAGAATGCGTCAATCGATCGTACCGAGAAGCGGACAAGACGCAATTGGAGACGACGGATCATCTGAAGAAACGAGCGGCCGATGTGCACCGTTGGAAGATCGAGTTGGAACACGTGATATTCGAGATCACCAAGGAAATCGAATTACTGGAGGCGCAACGAAGAAGAGTGAAACTCTCCCTGTCGGTCCTAACTGTTCCGGAATCGATCGCCGGTGAATTCTTACAGTTGCGATCTAAACGTTTGGAGTCTGATCTAATCCGCGACGAAGTTGAAGAGGAGTTGACGAAGGTGAACGTCGCGTGAAAATAACCGTTGACAAAGTTTCCGTCGCATTCGATGATACATAAGTACATATTTCTTAATTGTCGTAGGAAGTTGCCCTTTGCTCGGAGATACGGGACTTACTTATCAGAACACGGGAACAAATCGAGGTGCAACTGATCGAGTTGAAGGCAGCCAAAGCAAGAATGGAGGTCGACTGGTCCGATAAGACCGATGCTTATCGCATCGATTCTCGTTGTATGCAGCTGAAAAATGATTCTCCTGTTATATTGTGGAAACTTGGCGCCACGAGATTTCCAGCAGAGTGTGTAACAAGCTGTTGAATGTAACAAACTTTAATTCAGTATTCGTATACCAGCGTAGTTCACTCATCAGTTGACAATGTTAAGTGCCATTTCGATCGCCGAGGACGGTTTTTCTTCGCGGTTATCACAAAGTGTTATTGTTTTGGTAATTATAATTCCAGCGATTCGTAACATTTCTTGCAAAATTTTCTACCATTTGCGAATAATTGCCGCATCACGTGGAGTAAACAGAAACGTCATTTCGTCACGTGTTTGATTACTTAACTACCAGAATGAAAATGGTTTTGGTTAAAATTGGATTTCTTGATTGTAACCAATCGTCACAGATTCGGAAATTGACCTACCAGACGGAAGTATGCATAAACACTTGCACTCTCATCTGAAATTTAATAAAACGTGTTATCTGCCTGAATGAGGAACATTTTACCAAAATTTTTTATCGGGTCGTTACATAATAACTGATGTTTTCCTGCGGCACATGGTGGATGATTGTAACTTATCTTGAAAACGGTTTTTAAATTCAAGTGAACACCATCTGAGTTAACGCACACTTGCCAACGAGTTGCAAGCTTCTTGTTAGCATATTCAATGATTTACGAAACGATTCTTATGATTATTATGCAACAGCCTAATGACATTTTTAACTGTTGTTCAACAGACAATCGACTCCCGAGAGTTACGAGCATTACACGCGTGAAAGTTTAACCGATGCCGAGATTGCCAGACAGAAATCAGTGACCTTGAGATCAACCTTGGACGGAATTTACACGAATTCCATCAAGGACCTCCGTGACCAAGCGACCCGCGTGGATCTCGCTCTTGGCACAAAGATCAAGCTCACGGAGGAAGTCCGTGTACAATTGGAAAAGGAATTATTACGCGTGAGTCTTATCGTCACGATATACTTTGTACATATTAGTATTATCTGTATTACGATTACAAGAGAACCCAATCTTTACACATTACACATGTGAAAAAGATAAAAATATACAACAGAATCGTAATATTCAAATTACCAAGGAAATAATATTACCCACTATAACTGTCAGCTATTTCCTCGGGTGTGTTTCTGTTGTATATTTTCAAAGGTGCCCGAATGTTAGAAAAAAAAAAAACTTCGAATCTGTTTAGTGTCTGCATGAATTGGCGAATACCGAAAAAGCGATCGAGGAGCTTCGTCATTCCGCGAGGGGTCTCGATTGTGCAATGAAAGTAGCGCAAACACGATTAGCAGAGAGATTGAAACGATGTAACGTTGAAAGCTGTCGGGATATACCCCAATTTGCGTAAGTATTATATCAGTCGGCCATTATCTAATCACCATAAGCGCAGGGTAATGAAAACGAGACAGAATATATGTATTATGGTCTGATTGAAGAATGATTGAAGATGCAGTTATCATGATTTTTACATGTTTTTAAACAGCCTCGTGGAAGAAGTGAAAATGCTCAACGAACGCACCTCCGCCATGTTGGCGGAATTGAAGCGAGCCGAGGAGACGCAGGCTGGTCTGGTGAAGGCTAGAAGCGACCTTGAACGTGAAATTGTCGTGAAAAGAAAAACATTGTTTATAGACAAGCAGCGGGGTCAATTGTTACGCTCTTTTTATCCTTCGGCCGCGACTCTGTCTGGTTTTTAGTATTAATCGAATATTTACGTTGCAACGCTTTAGCGAAGAAGTTGGCTAAATATAATAACAGGTAACAAAAGTAACGTGCACATTGAAAAATTAAAGGATCGACTTCGGTCCTTCGAAACTTGTAAAATAACATGATAAACCAATTTGTGCGGATTTAAGTTGCTTGATTACCTTGGCAGCATGTAAATTTTGTAAATAATCGCAGTTAAATAGCAGAAACACGGTATATAAGAAACAAAAATTCAGATATCTCAATAAGTATATATATATAAAAAATACAAGGAATTGAATAGGGATTAAGAAATTATAAAATTATTGGTTCTGTAAATGTATTTTGGAAGTATACGACTTGTCCACGGAAAAATATCTTTGTAGTTCTTAATACTTGTGTATAATAGTTTTGTAACATTTTGTTTCGATATTTTATACAAAAATGAAAAATATACGACCTGGATACCACGGGGTTTGTTTCGTATGTTGTCTCGTACATTCGTATAATGATTAAATTAGGTACTACACGTTTATGTTTAAGAGGCAGCTTAACTTATCGCTGTCGTCGCGGAATTAAATTCAGTATAAGAAGAATATACAATTATAGTTCGTCGTGTGGTTGGAGATAATTCGACACAAAGTCGTAGAGATCGTCTAGGTTGCGAGCACCATTGTATTCAGACACTTTATGTCCATCGCGATATAAGTACAAAGTAGGAAAACCATCTACTTCTTGTTCATTGCACAAATCTTTGCTCGCGTCGAGTGTGCAATCTACTTTTACTATATTCACGCTCTCATTGCCGAAGAACTTCTTTCCGAGTTCCTCCCAGATAGGTGCTAAACGTTTGCAATGACCGCACCACGGTGCAAAGAACTTAACAAATGAGATTCCTTTTTCGATACCGTGCTTAAAGCTGTCGCCGGTTAAACTCAGCACAGCGTGAGTTGTACTGTCGGAACTATCAGTCTTAACGTCCATCTGATCGTTACTCTTCGCAAGCATTTTTGACACATAGGCCTTCAATTCTTCATGAGTACGCTGTCCTGAATATTTATCCACCTGAAAGTTCGTTAAAAGATTGTTCAAGTTGTCCTTAAAAGAAGTACATTATGCTGTGTCTATACATATATACGGTCCTCTGTACTGTAAGCATGTTTAGAGACAGATGTATTGATCGATGAATGAAATGTCGACGCGTTCAATCGCGTGCAAGCATGGCTGATAAAAGGAAACCATCTTTGATTGTATGTTCAGAAATACTGAGGATACCACCGTGATTTCATACAGAGTGTCGAAGCGGGATTATAGAGAAAGTGTACAGTCACAGTTACAAAAGTAAAAAACAATATATGCATAAGCTTCACCTTTTTACCATCTTCAATCCAGAGTAACGTCGGATATCCCTTTATATCAAATTGCCCACAAACACTACGGTGTTGTGTGCAATCTACTTTAGATATACTAGCATAATTATTGTTACGTAAACTGTTAGCTAATTCCTCCCATGTTGGAGCTAATTTTTGACAATGACCACACCAAGGTGCATAAAATTTTACAAAATGATAGCCAGTGGACACATGCTTGCCAAAAGTATTCTCTGTTAATTCCAGCAGACCATTTACTGCTTCAGGAGGAGACGGTACAGTGTCTGCACTCTAAATTGGAACATTTGAAATTAATAATTGAATCATGTATAACATAATTAGACTACAGATGTTTATGTATCCATAAGTACCCATAGTCCAGTTATAATACAGTGAAAATATATGATAGTTACCCCAAGAGTGGTACCTAGCTGATCATTTAAAAATGAAAGTAGAGAAGGCAAGTCTCGCGTGCCTCTGAACTTAGTGCCTTTGCTTTCTCCAGCTTTAAAAAATTTTAGCCTACAAAATAATTAATACTATGGTTTTTATAACTGTATAATTGTATATTTTATTTTATCCCAGCAATAAAATATAACAAGCTGACATTATACATACGTAGGATAACCAGTGACATCATGTTCAGTACACAGGCTGCTATCTGTAGTACAATCAACTTTACCAATTTTTATACTGTTATCTTCTTTGTTTGATATTTCTGCTAATTGCTCCCAAGTTGGCTCAAGCCTCTGACAATGTCCACACCTAAAATAAACAATTCTCATTACGTAAGTACCAAATATGAAGATATGTGTACATACAGATTTTATACATTTATAATGCATTTGAATATATTGAATACAATAAAATAATGACTTAAACAATATTCATTAAAGATATAACTTGAGATTTAACACAATAGGACCACTTTCTATATATCTCATTTTTTATATTTAATCTATATTAGTTTGAATGGGTAACATCAACAATCTAATTATAATACTTTATTTGCACCAAAAATGAATTGTTAAGTTTAATAAAATCTTTAATAAAGAAATAAAATTTTTCAGTGATTTCCATTTTTGAAACACTGCTTCTAAACATGTGAATTGTTATAAACATCCGCAATTTGTGTACAACATTTAAACACTTAAAAATTATTTCTACTCCAATAACAAATTCTCTTATTTATTATAAATAAAAACAGAGTAAATGTACCAAGGCGCGTAGAACATAACAAAATGATTTTTCTTCTTAATTTCCGTTGCAAAATTGTCCTTGTTGTACTGCACAGTGTGTACAGCATCTTCCTGTTGACTTGAGACTTGACTCAGCATAAATAGAAACAGGAAGATATGTTTCTTTAACGTGATAAAGCTCGATGAACGTCCCGTCATGATGATAAATTCTGAACACTTTGTAAAGTAATTAAGTATTCGAAACAAGCTTTGTATTGCTACAAGAGATAAGAGTCGAATTTAAAAAATTTCAAAGTATCACGGTCATCACTTCAATCTTGGAAACACAGTTATGGAGAATTTAAATGCTGTCGACATGAACACATAGAAGTTCTAAATTTTGCTACGTATCAACTAAAATAATAAATTATTCTCTACTATACGATTCTAATTGAACTATTCCTTGCACTTCGGACTCGCCTCCCACACAAATGGATCGAAACCGCCGATTCCGCCCCCATATGACTCCCAACACTTCTAGCAACATTATATCATGAAATTCCTACAGCCAGAGAAGAAGAGAGATTACGCACGGGAATTCGTTGTTCCGACGCAAGTGCTGCACCAATCGGCCAATTCTGATATAATAGTAGGAATCTAAATTGAACTCCCCAGTGGGGGCGCCAGGGATCCCGTATGGTTGGAGCGTGGGGTCATGGAACCCCCGTAGAGGCGTCAGAGACCCCCTGTGGTGAGAACGTGGGGTCATAGAACCCCCAGTGGGGGCGTTAGGGATCCCGTGTGTTGGAGAGTGGGGCCATGGAACCCCCGGTGGAGACGCCAGAGACCCCGTGTGGTTGGAGCGGGGGGTCATAGAACCCCCGGAGGAGGCGCCAGAGACCGTGTATGGTTGGAGCTTACCAATTTTCAATTTGGGTAAACCTGACTAAACCTTATATGCCCAACTGTCCCCAACCGGAACTGTAAACATTAAACAAGCGCCGGGCAAACGTGTTCTTTAATCGACGTTCAAAAATATATATAATTTTAAAATACACAATACTTCTTGTCATTCTAGTGAACATGGATTTTAATCTTCCCGAATTGACAGCAAACGAAACCAGTCAAGTAAGTATTTTGTTCTTAAGGCTTCTTCGAATCGAATTTGTCAATACCGATCATCTAGATTACTTTGAGGTTACAGTAACTACTATAAGCTCATCGATGGATTATAACAGAAATATGATTATATGACTGCAAATGCTATTTTTTCTCATTAGATTATTTATTAATGTTTATATGAATGTCTTCTGATGTTATTTATTCACTATAGTGTTAAATTTATTTTATATCGTTTATAAATGTGTCCATGAAGACCTACTTTCTGTATTTACGCAAATGATTCATGTGTCATCTAATACCCTTTAATTTAAAAATCTTTACTAACAAGACCCCTGAATTTATATGTTAATTGTTTATTGCAGAATGATCATTCCAATTTGGTGAATGTAACACAGTCCTATTTGCTCTTGAAGAAAAGAATCTGTGACACTCAGTAAGTTCTCTAGAAGAATATGTTCATTTTGTTTATGGTTAGTAAATAAGAAAGTTTAATGAGTTATATTTTTCTAGTGAAGTGATTCAACAATATAATGACAAATTAAAAGAATGTGAGCATTTGAAGACAGATTTAGATGCAACAAATAAACAAGCAAAGAAAGTGGCCTGTAATTATAATTCTATGTTAGCTAAGGTTATTAAATTAGAACTTGTAAGTAAAAACTATCATTGTTATTATGTCAGTATTACTAAAAAAATATAGGAACAGAAGAAAAATTGTAAGAGAACAGAAATCTATGTTTGTATAGTATGATATATACATCCATGAATTACATGGTTTTTTTTAGCAAAATACGGAATATAAAAAAAATATAGAGTCACTAACAACACAAGTGAATGATCGTCAAGTAAAAGCAGCTGCAGATCAGCAACATATCCAACAACTGATATGTAAAATAAAGGATGTAGAAAGCCAACACAATGATAAAGTTATGCAGTATGATTTAAAAAAATCTTCTCTCGAAGGTAAGTAATACAATGTATTAAATTGTTATGTACACATTTATTTCAATACTTGTTTAGAATTAGAATATGGGTAACTCCTGTTATTTTGCATATTTAATGATTTATTTTTGTTCATATGCATGATTTACATTCCTATAATCCAAGATAAAATACTTCTAATAAGTACCTTTATTGCTATGATAAATGCACTATTTTTGTTTCCAGTAAGGGTTAAAGAACTAGAACAGGAATTAAAAAATGTAAAAAAGTCTTATGACCTGAAGACAAAAAAGATGGAAGAGAAGAAGAAGGTGGAGAACAAGACTCCTACAAAAAACAGTAATAATAGTAATAATACTACCAGTGTCAGCAGTAACATATGTAATAATAGTAAGTTATAGGAATCAAACTAGTACCCTAGATGTGATTCTTAGTGCTAAATGTTGGTTTATTTTTTTTATAGAAGTGAAAATGAAAGACGTTGGAAGCATTACAACACTTACTATGGATGAAATAGTGCAGAAACAAAAAGTTTCAGATAAATGTGTAATGACCGACGAATTTTATAATGTGAAGGACAACATGTATCCTATATTTTGTGCCAAATGTGAGGTTCTTTTGGAGCCTACCCCTCTAGAAAAAATTTGCGAAATCATGACAGAATCATGTCCAAAGTTGATAGAGAAAATTTCATCCCCTCTTAAGAAAGTAACTTTACCTCCACTAATATCACCTGGTGAGTAATCGTTTAGACTTTCAGTACATCTAATAAAGTGCAGTCTTTTAACGTTATGTGATTTCAGGTATGAACAATGAACGATGTAAAACAGAAAATGTAACAGTGTTACCGGAAACACAGCCGTCACATTTACAGAATCGGACCGTTGATCCTCATTTCATTCCTACGAATCCTTTAGCATCACATGAACAAATGACATTGAGTCGTACAGATTATTGTAACAATTTTCCGCAGACGTCTAGTTTAATGAATCAAAATAGTTATTGTATTGGTTCAACACCGGTTAATCCATTATCATTGGCAAATATGAGTACAACTAGTCAGAATAATCACTGCGACGAAGCGTCAACGCTTGCATCCTCTCTATTACTTATTTCTTCATTGCAAAAACGGATCGATACATTAGAGATGAAGGTAAAGAAGAAATTTAACAAAAAGAATTCGGAACAGAACAGCAATCTTTGGCAGCGTACACATCAAAATCCGTGCTGCATGCACGACATTAACAGTTCAATGCAATTCAATTTTATGGAACTCTTTAAACGAGTGACTGATTTTGGTGACAGCAAGGAAAAGAAGCAACTCAATATAAATAAGCGTAGAGATAAGAGTTCGAATAAGCATAAATTGTCCCAGTTGAAATCCGTAAAAAGATTGCAGAACGCGCCTGCTTGCACATGGGAAGTAGAGACGATAGTGACAAAACCGGAGCAAAGTCCTGTTAGACAAAGGCCTAAGAAACGGAAGTACAGGCATTCTATGCTTCTCAGTAAGACTAACGTTTCTACAAATAAGTTAGGGGATTTAGAAGCATCGATTAGCGATTCGGATTCCAATTCTTGTAACGATCTGTTTACAAGTGCTACTCTTGTTAAATCAGATATTAGCGTACAGTCTAAAGATATATCGCGTGTAGAGACGACTAATTTAGAATGTAACAATCGCTCGAAGACATCAACGTGTTCTGCTCAGTCTACAGACACAGATGAACTCGAGACTGTAGACAGAGTAAGAAACTCCGTTGAGTCTAGAAAATCATTGGGAGGTGAAACCGACTCAGGAATATTGTCAGACTCAGTGGAATCTAATAAATTAATACAACTCGAAGGAGACCTAGATTCGTGTATTGTTTCAACAGATTGTAAGCATGCGAGAGATGAAAAGAGTTCCATGGAAAATACACAGGCTTTCACTGGAAGCTTCAGGATATTGAGATCTCAATCCAAAGAGAAATCTCCTATAAAGTTAATTAAGACGAGTAGGCTGACAGAAGAAGTAGTTGATTCAAAAGTATTAAAGCCAAATGAACAGATTGAAGAGATAGACCTCAATGGTTCAGTTCCTCAGACTAAAACAACTACCTCTAATAATACAAATCCTACTAGAAAGAGAAAGATCAGTGAACTTCAAGACGTGAAGAAGTGTAGTCGTCAAGGGTTATTAAAGAAGATAAGAAATTTAAAAAAGAACTGTAAGGTTGGAAATATCCGGCAAAGTAGTTCAGATCTCCAGGAAATAGAAAACTGTGAGAGTCACGTTTCTTATAGCTTGCAGGGTGAAAAGCATTTCGAGAAGGAAGTCGAGGACATTAAGGACGATGATTACGTACCCAAAAAGAAACCTCGAATAGCTCATGTACCCAAGAGTGTAACAGTAGAACAAAATAATTATCCACCGGTTAAGACGTACACGGTAAAAGATTTAACAAAGAGAAAAGTGAAACCGCGAGACAGTATTATTGATAGTGCCGAAGCAAATACGACCATAACAATACAATCGACAGAAATACCCGACAGATATAGTATCGATATAGACGAGTCCGTTGTTACTCAGACAATGGTGAAAGGCGATAGTAATGTAGGGTCAGAAAATAAATGTAGCAACAGGACAAATGAACTCAAACCGAATTCATCCAACTCAATGCATTCTAATACAACAAACGTCCCAGAGAATAATAATATTAATGAAATGTCTACTATTGATATTAAACCTTTCAGCCATTCACCTGACAATGATTTAGAAAACAAAAATTTATCGATGGTAGATATGAACAGTTCTAGAGATTCTACAAACCTTACAATGTCTAGTCTTGATGATTCGTTTGAAGGCTTAATGGAATTTGATGAATTAAAGACTGAAGCAACTAATGAATATAAACAGATTAAACAGGAGTATCAAAATAATTCACCGCATTCAAAGAATGCAATTCTTGAAGCTGACAATAATACAAATAAATTTGATGATGAATCGAGCAAAAATGGAACTGATCAATCTAGCAAGTTGTCGACATTGAATGCTGTATTGAGTAATAATTTAAACCCACTACCTTATCAGGATAATGATAATTCCTCTAGAAATGGAAGTACTACTGAAAATGACGTCTATGTATGTAAGAGAAACGTTCAAGAAGTTGTACGAAATCAGTCGTGTGACGTCAACGGTTCATTAGTGAGCTCAGAGGATATACATTTAATGAATGTTCAAGATAATGATACAAATAAAATAACAAAAGTTTACGCGACGAAACTTAATTCTAATGCAGGATCGAAGTTAGAGTCACAGTCCCTGCTTGCAAGAATAAGACAATTTGCTTCAACAAATAAATCTTCAACTACCAACTGTAATAATCAGTCGATGAATCTTTTACGTATTAGTCTGATAACAGGTAAGGTTACTACCTCTAGATTTAACTACTTATTGAACAGAAAGAAATATGACTATAATAGAAGTATGACAGCATAAATATTTGTACCCATTTCAGATAAGTTTGTAAACAAGCAGTTACAAAGACTCGTGGATTGCGACTGGAAGGTTTGTGCTGTACATTGGGACGTGATTGACAAATTAAAAACTACGTGTACTCCCTGTGTTATAGCGAAGTGAGTACCAAAAAGTAATCAGAATATTTTTATTGGTGATTATTTATTCTGATAAAAATAGACTTTAATCGGTGTTTCTAATTTCAGAGGCATCGTAGACTTTTTCAGTTCAGAAGAACAAAGCAACAAAAGTTTGGATAATAGTCACACACCACCTGCACCTTTAATGACGCAAACACAACAAAGGATTGCAGCATTGTTGATTGACTTAGAAAAGTCAAATCCAATGATTTTTCAGTTGGTTCAAACTGGCATTGAGTATAAACTTTTTAGACTTAATCAGCAGATAGAGGTTCGCATATTAATCATTTTAGTCTGTCGTATAAAATTTAGTAACTTGATTAATATTTTTTTATGTGTCCAGAGATCGGTTGTGGAATCACTTGCTAGGATGTACACGATTCTAGCACGAATTAAGAAAGATAGAGGAAAAGTAAGGATATTTTGTTGCGATGCTCTTTATTGTTTGGGAGTTAATGCAATACTTGTTTTGTATACAGTATTCACTTGTTGGCCAGAGACATTTCCAAATAATGAAACCAATAAAGGTAGGTTGCGATGCATAAAAATCTGTGTTTGCATAAACATTCGCAGTCTATTAATGACGTTAACATCGATGAAACATTTTAACATTATTATATACCATTCACAGAACTTTTACCGGAATGTATGGCTCACCTCATCATGACCCAACAAGCCGTCGACTATCCTAAGCTTAAGGCTTTAAAAAATTTGGTGTCATTGTTCTATAAATACCCAACAGGAACTATATCCAAGGACATGTTGAACAAACTTTTATCAGCCCTTCAAGGTAAATAAACATTGAAATACATAATTTTCATATACGTAGTTCCATTGATCTTAATCAATCTGTATTGTAGAGAAATCTGACGCTGAAATAGAAGCGGCCATTATACTTTTAGCAAAGAGGGAAGGCACAGCATGGACGTATAAAAATATCATTCGGGGCGCATTGTTACCAATGATCATTAACAACAAACTTCCCAGCGCGTATAGATCGTTTTGTTTACTCGGTAACTACTTTTCAACTACTCTCAGAGGTTCCTCCAAGATATGTCTATACTAGCTTAAACAGAACTTTTTATTGTTTTATTATTGTCACTTATAACAACTTCAATACTCTATATTTTACTACTCCTTAGCTGATTTGGTATTGATATTATAACATATTCATCAGTTAAGTTATAACGTTCTTTATCATTCTTATATGATTCCAGGCAATCTTATGCGTGTGTTCCCCGTTGGGGATAAGAATAATTCAGTCGGTGAAATTGTGGAACAATTATGTGATTTGATTAATTCCGGTGAAGGTATGTTTTCTTATAATTTATTTTATCCATGTTCCACACACAATATTAAAATAATGGTAATCTAAAATTTGCACTTTCGATTAGTGTCAGAGGAGCAACAAGAAGGTATCATCTCAGCGCTATTGAGCTTGTCGAGGCACAAATTCGACGATGTGGTGCAAAACGTAATAAAATGGACCCCCACTGCACCCCTTCATGATCGAACTACAGAACAAATCAATGGACTACTTAATCAGCGTCCCCCAGATTTCTGGAAAGGCTACTTAAGAACGAACAAACTATTCGTAAAAACGTCAACAACGTAAAACGTACAGTACAAGTCTTTGGTTGCGAATAACATGAAGTTTGTGATATTTATTTAGAAAATAATTTATATGTATTATTTAAAAGTTGATACGTTTACGTTGGCGTTCCATTAACATTTAATTTCTTTACCATTCATTCATAAAATGTTCCTTAATTGATTCACAATAGGAGCAAGAATTGTCAGTCTTTCAGTGATTTCGAACTGGGAACGTATGTTTTTCATGCTAACAATATACTGACAACTATTGCTTTGCAGTTTCTTTTCCTTTCTTTATTCGTTGAAGTGTATGATACACTTAGTACGCAATTAATTTTTTATGTAGATATTCATGTGCATGTATTATATTACGGAGAGCTTCAGGCATAAAAAGGACTAACTTTGGTGAATTTATAAACCAAAGAACACACTTCGAAGCATTTCCTGTATTACGAATGAATTTGTTTTGCGTTTTAAGCCTCAAATATTTTTACTTTTTATGTCTGTGGACGGAGAGTCAGGACATTTACGAACATCGTTTTGTTATACAATAAAAGAAAAATTGGTTTTCTAACTCGCTGCTATTATGTTCATGTGAATCCTTTCTATTTTCCATCGATTCCTTTAGGAAAAACTTTTCGTTTCATTTACGAATAAACTTAAGGTGTTCCAATCTTGAGAGAAATACGTGAAATGGTCGAGTCGTTTTGCACGCCCGTTTTATTGAAATAAAAATTTGTTGTATAGTTCCGATACCATTGACCTGTAGATCCGTGCAAAAACTTTTTTTGTGCATTTCATATGTAAAACATAATTCTAATTACATTTTTCGAACGGAGAAAATCTACGGCGGTGAAATGAGACATTGGTCGGGCAGGTGACTGAATATTCATGAGAATCCGGTCTATCGCATGAACAAGACCATTGACCCGGACTCAGGATAGTATTCATTATCGGAGTAATGAACATTAAATAGTAATTAGCAGGTGCATGGACTTACATAGCTCAGCGATTTCCGCCGGGATGGCGCGGACGTTTGCCTGACCCACAGCAGGAAGTCTGACAACTTCAACGCTGCAATCGCAATTTAGGGTGTTTTATCAATACGACATAATTAACCGTGAATTACACCAACAAATCAGCGAAGGATGATACTTTTTCTCAAATGTAAATGTTTAAGAATATGGAAAACGTAAAAATTAAACGACAGTCTCTTTTTCATTTTAAAGCTTTTCAATAGTAGTTTCTAGTCTGACTTCAGCTTGTTTATTAATCTGACGTATCCAATTGTCAAATATTGAATTGTAGCGAGGACAGAATCTCAGCCCGAAAATTCTAATTTTGTGGGACTGTGGAGCATTGTTGGACTACATATACAAAAGACTCATTCCAAAGGAGTGACATCAACCCTTAAAACTGGTGCGTTCTTTCGTTTCTTAGATGCATCTTGTCAATCGCATCGGAGACAACAAAAATTTGTCGTTGTATTCTACTTTCAATTCTTTATTAAACGAAGACATAAAACGACTCGCAACGCAATTTGCTATCGTCCACAGATCAAGTCAAGGAATATCGAATTGCGTCATCCACAGGGAACGTATCACCTCGACTTGTGTATTTTTTTTTTTTTCCAAAAACCAATAATACCGATTCTACACGAGTATTTCACTGCTTTCGAAAGAATATGTTACAACCCGTCGTCGTTTCAAGTATCGCTACCGGAGAAAGAGAGAAGGTCGGAAAACGGCGAATGAAGTTATAAAAGTAATAACGTGTAAGTAATAATAATAATATTCATAATAATAATAGATAATAATAATAATAGATAATAATAATAATAATAATAGCAATAATAATAATAATCAACATATCGTAAGCTTCCATACGCAGAGCACGCTAAGTTAATACATGTACATGGTTTCTTTACAAAAATAATAACAATGTTTCGATGCAACATTGCGGATCCAGTGATCAATCTCGTCTAGCTAAATGACACTTTAGCAGCTTCCTTTGGATAGATAACTTTTTTTCGTATATTATTTATATATATATATACATATATATATATATATTTATATATATGTCCCGCATTTAATCTTCGCTTCCTTTTACAAGGGAGCGGCGCCTCCTCTATTCACTCTTAATCTCTAACTTCTCTCGCGGCTCATCGATTTCGCTTCACGCTTCTCTCCCTTTCTCTCTGGCCCTCTCACTCACTTACACACACGCTTGCATACACACATTCTCTCTTGCATTTAAATAAACTACTTATTTGTCAGTTAATCGACATTGTCTTTGGTACATTTACAACGAACAGCATACCGCGCGATAGAGTACGGATTTGGTAATGTCGGACGGGGTACCTACCATCCGCCGTCATGTTTAAAGCGTACCGCGATTCACACGAGGGAACGAAAGAAATTTCACATATGGAGGACCATTCGCGTGTCCCCGGGCGCGAAAAACGGGCCTCCGTCCGGAAATTAAAAGTGGGCGAGGGGAAAAATAGGAACGGACAAAACAAACGCGTATTCCGGAACGAGGAAAGGAGAAACTGAGGAAGAGAGGAAATGTCGGGAAACGCGTCAGAAAGAGAGAGAGAGAGACGAACAGGAGAAAAATAGAAGGCAACGGGACGGGAAGGGCGGAGAGGATGAGAGGGGAGAACGGTCGAGCCGGAAGTCGATCGAAGAAACGATCGAGACGACCGAGAATTTCAAAATTCCAGCAGCCCCGGATCGTGATCCCGATCGATCCAATGCTATCGATCGATCCCACCCACACCCCCGACACGTTCCACTTCCAGGATAGAGTTCGATCCAAAGAAAATCGTTCGAATTTCTTTCGTCCTCGACTCGAGACCGCTCGCTTTTTTTTTTTTTTTGCGCCCAACAGCGGTCCGAAAAATCTTTCTCCGCGTCTCTCTTTCGTTCCCTCCATTCCCCACACACCTCCTCGGGTTCTCTCTTCTTCGGTCTTGATCCGCGCGCGATCACACGGCCACGGCGCTGTCTGATGTACTAAAATGCCACCACTAGTGTCTGTACGCTTTAAACGATCGCCTAGGGATCGCGAGACTCGAGTCATTGCTCTAGACCGCGACGCACACACGCATTCATACACACACACATACGCGCGCGCGCTCACGTGCACGGCAACGGTTTCTTTTTCCGTGATCGAGCGAACAAACAAAAAGAAAAAACGAACGAAACGAAACACAGCGGAGAAACGAAAATTTTAAAAGCTGTTCCCCCTTGAATTATCGTCTAATGGAAAATCGGAGGAAATCGGTTCCCACGGGGGGGGGGCAGATATTCGCGAAAACGTCACCGATTGCATGTACCAATTGGCCATCGTTGCTCGGAAATTGGAAGCTGTTTTTGAAAGAACCTAAGATTTGTCTGTGACAAGACGTTCGAAGTCGATTTAACGATCGAGGAGTGTTCTTCATCTCCTGTACGGATCGTTCAACCAATTGTGTAACCGTACAGTATCGTGTCTGGTCACTGATTGTTTCTTGGATAAATTTTGATCGGATGTTATTCAAATGCGAAAAGAAAAAATGGCGGAATACCCAACCACCCCTCCCGATTGGCGCAATTGTTCTTCGATCGCAGCCTCCGAGTGTTTTGTCTGCATCTCTTGCTCTTTCTGTTTCGCTTCATAAATAATAAATCGGCTCTCCCTAACACGTAACCGTTAACCAAACACGCGGGAGCTAGTTATTAGGAATAACTGATTTAATCGACGTTGCCGATCGATAGTAATAATTAAAAAAAAAAAAAAAACGAATGGATAATTAATCGATCGTAAGCTAATGATCGTAATTAGTAATAATAATTAAATCGTGACAATTAATTAATTACGAGAAAAATACGAATAAGTTAGGAACCAAGTACAAAGTATGAGACGTAACGATTGTGAGGTTAGGATTTTGCGTGATGGAAGGAAGGAATATTGGGAAAGTGGGGTTGGAGGAGGGAGAGAGTTGGGCTGCGGGGAAGAAATTAAATTAGAATTACGCCGTTTCTCCACGTTAATTAGGACTATTTATAAATTAATCGGGGTATTCCCCGTGAGAGACACTTCTCTTTAGGCCTCCTCACTCTCTAGTCACGACCCCTAACTCGTCTCCAATTCTTGTTACTCTCGTTTCGCTCCCTCCCCTTCCCCCCTGGATTCGAGTGTTCCACCGGACGATCTATTCTCCGGAACTCGTCGAAAACAAGGAAAAACACTAGTTTCACTAGGTGGGGGGAATGCGGGTGGAAAGCAAAGGGGGGGGGGCTTCTGACTGATCGCGACGCGTTAAGGTACAAGAAGAGCAGACGATCTTTAGAGCGCGTTTGGAAGCTTCTCTTCATTCCGCAAGTATCTACAAATATACAAATCTCCGTTCAACACGGATAGACATCGCACTCACTCTCGCTCTATCTCTCATTTTCTCTCTAACTCTCTCCGTTAAAAGCGGCTTAGGTACGAACGACGAGGAAAAAGAACAAAATATCGTGTATCCTACGCGCGCACCTCTTCCAGGGACGGCGTCGCTTTCTAGGCGGAACATGGTATATATCCTCTTTCTCCCCAATTTCTTTTTTCTTTTCGGTCGCCGCTCGATACCAACGGCCGCCGCTGCACGGTTATTTTCGGTGATGGAACCAGGCGACCCGGGCGAACTCTCGCACGACCCCCCGTCACCCAACACTACGCGACACGACTCGTCTCGTATCCCCGCGAAATTTATTTGTCGTCAAACGTCACGCAGTCTCGAATAGGTAGGTACACACATCTAGAGAGTGGGGGGAGGGGGGTCTAGGGACAAGGGGTCCAGACTTGATCCGAGCGTGTCATTGGATTGCAGTTTCTCCGCTACAAACGGCGTGTATTACATACTCTGTCTCGTCAGACAAATCCCGCGGGGAACGAGGGTCGCGAGGCCGGGCCCGGCACGGATAATTTACTATTTACAAAAACGGGATGGGGTGTCGCGGCAAGAGAGCCTGTTCGAGCCCCGTGGTCGCGACCACACTGCGTCGTCTTCTCCCCTAACGAAACTACCCGCGTGTCTACGACCCACCAATCTCTCTCTCCGTCCCTTTTTCGTCTTTAGAATTTCTGATCGTTCACGGGTAACGCCGTGCCTCTTCGTTTTTTCGATCACACACGATCGAGAACATTTGTCGGGAAACAAACATGGCGGCTGAAGTAATCGGTGGACTCTCTCTGTGGTTTGCTTTATACATTTTGTTCTTGCACGATGAAAGAAGTATTCGTACACCATTGATTCTTGCTTTCCATTCGTTAATATTGTTTTCGTTGCTATTGTAATTTTTAGGATTTTCTGTAGGTACTTCTTTTATTGGTTTTCTCTTGAACTATCGAATGAAGTTAATAATTTTTGTCTCTTGGTGTTGTAGTAGCGGTAGAATTGCTTCTCGGAGGATAACTGACAGTGGTGTACGAATGTTCTCTTCAGCCACAGTAGATGAAATGTCGTTTTTCCTTGCCATAGGGCTTCTTTGAAACTCGACAGGATGGAAACTGTTAGTTCCATTTCGACCATGATTTGGTTGTCATCAGTTCGATGAATGTCTACAGTACTAAAGGATCGAGCTTCTTCAGAGACTGATCGGTCAAAGAAAAATTGGAGAAAATAAAATAACGTTGTATAATGATTAACGATTTTGATGCATCGAAAAACGACGTTTCACGGGTATTAACCTTATTTAGGAACGTTTGATTGTCCGTGGTCCTCCGATTATTCCGTCTTGAGGCGCGTGTTCCCTGAACCGAAACGGATAAAGATACGTACATTTAACACGCAGGACGACTCGAATAAATAAATAAACGTCTGTATTGAGCGGACAGCCACGCGTTGTACATACATTCACAAGTGATAAACGCTCGCGATGCAGACGATGTCCGCCCGCCTAGGAATATCGAAACGCGACACGAACACGAGAAGAGAAAAAGAAAAGAAAGCGAACACGAAGCCGGACAGAAACTCGACGAGATAGTGGAACGAGTGGTCCTTTCACGAAATTTCGATTCTACGATACTCTCGACCCGCGATCAATTTCTCTATTTCACACTTCATTCTTTTCACAAGGAACTTTCTGCTTAACTCCCGGCACTTCGACGATCGAGGAAGAACGAAACAAAACAGGACAGAAAGCCGTAAAACTGAAATGAAAAAAAAAAAAAAAGAGTTGAAAGAACCAAAAGAATATCTTCCAAGTTAATTCTCTAAACGGTTCACCGAAGAAACCACGAAAGCTTAACTCGTAGATTCACGTAGTTGACACGCTATATCGATCCGCTATTGTGTATGTGTGTGTTACTTTTTCGATTATTATTATTGTCTGATCTAAACTATTCATTTCTCCGGGATAGGAACAGTGATTTACCGGGTGTACTCTCTAATACTTCTATCGAGTGTCCGCCCCGTTCCGTCGGGTCTTGTATTTTTAAACATCCCCCTTTTTTTTTTCTTCCACGTTTCCTCGTCCTTTGTTCTTCCGAAAGGTCCAGCTATTTAAAGTTTAAGCTACGTACTTTCCATTTTTAATCCTACGTCGGTTTCCACGGGAGATAACCTCGGCGTCGTGCGCGTTCGAGCCGATTCCTCTTCGATCTTCTTCTGCTGTTCTCCTCCTCCTCCTCCACCTTGGATCTTGATCCTCGCCGCATTGGGCAGGTGTGAAAGAACGATATTGGCGTTCTCCCTCTCGTTTCCGGAGGAATCGTGAGGAGGGGAGTATTCGTTCGCTATCACGCGAAACGTGGTCCATTGGACGAAGACAGAAAGCAATGGGAGGTTGTTGAAAGCGTTTTTTTTTTAAATTCGTTCCGTTGGACGCTTTATGTGTCTCTTCTCGATGATCTACGCCTGGACCGCCTCGACCCGTGTCTCCATCTCTCTCTCTCTGTCTCTCTGTTGTCGTGGAATTAGGCACCAGATTGGCTATTATTGATTCGAATGCTTGCCCTCGCTGATCGACGCCATTCTCATCGACTCCGCTTCCGGGCAGTTCCATCCGGGCATTCTCGTCTGCTCTATCGCCGCCTGAGAACAGATCGGGAGGATCTCGTTGTTACCGGTTACATTCGACTCGATTCGTTTCTTCGCGAGCCGACGCGACATGCTCGAGCGAATTATATTTTCGTTGGGCAGAAGCATACGCTACTGGGGGGTTCATTAAATTGAAAATAACGATAGGAGTTTGTTAATGGGAGACTTTGGATGGAATTATGTTTAAAAGTAGAGTGAGCACAGGAAAAATTGGAAAATAAATATGTATACAGAGAAGAGAAAGAAAGTAAACGTAACGGAATATGATGTCAAAATGTGATGTTATTCTAAACGATGTGAAATCGTTACAAATTAAAATGGTGTAAAAAACCTGTCTAAACGAATCAGAATAAAAATGAAACAGACGTTTTCTAATACTCTTGCTATACGATTCTTTCTATTTATGTGTGCTAGATTTATGTTACCGTTGTTAGTAGACAGTGCATGTAATTAAGTAGAAACTTATTTTCTCCAATAATAGACCCATAACGTGTACGGTAAACTTCATTACAATATTTCTTCTATTATATTATATTTTACACGATAACTTTTGTTTTAATCGTATAAGTCTCTCTAAGAGTAATGGTGATCTACGAAAGAGTTTGTCTTCTGGGAATAGGGTCTACGATCGGGATGAAGAAACAGAAATAGGAATTGAAATCGATGTATAGACGAACAATGATATTAATATCAGGTATTCTTCGCTTACCGAGCTATTAGGATTCTTGGTCATGAAGATCATGAGGGAGCGGCTGCGGTTGCTAAACGGCCTCAGCTCCGGATCTCGGCCAGGACCATCTACCGTGTCGACGCAGTTACTGTTGCCGCAAAAATAACGTACAATGTTAAAATTCGACAGAACAAAAATCAACAAATATTCCTTCGTAACGATCCATCGGAAGGGTCTGTCCCATTTTCTATCCCTTATTTAATTTCAGAGATCTATTTGATTATTATATAATAAGACAAGGCATTCATTATGTAACAATCTAATAATTATTGTAACAATTTAACTGCGAGCTGTGCTTATACGTTGTTCCGTTCGGAGATAAGACAATGATTTCGATAACGTGAACACCTTATCAAAGGGGACATAGTATGTAGTTAGATTATTTTCAGCAATTCGAATAAACAGAAGCGTAACAGTACTTTAAGCACGGACACAGTTTTTCATTTCAAGCACGATGACTGTCTTTCAATAACTTTTTTTTTTCCTTTCTCGAGAATTTGTGAATGGTTTCTCGATTGGAAATTCAACATTTCAATGGACAGAACTTTCCGACGAACGCGACACTCGGGCGGGATAAAGACGGGAAAAGGACGAATAGAAAGAACACGTACCTCGACCGCAATTCCTTTTGCTTTCGCTTACAGTGGATGTAAGCCGCTATGCAAATGATAACGACGAGGAATACTGCTATCGTGGCACCGCCGGCGATGCTGGCTGTCTCCAGCATTACACGCTGCCGGGAAGCTGTAACGCAAGATCGGCTTCTTAGCTTAGCACACACGGCTTCCTGTTTCACAGGACTCGTTCTAATGCCTTCCAGAGATTGAATGCACAACTAATTGTGTGTCCTCGTGACCACGTATGTATGTGCTCAGAGCGCCAACTGACTACCGTTTCACGAAACGAGGACTAACTGGACCACACCGTTTCGAGACTTCCGGGTCGCGATCGGGATCGGTACCGGATCGCAATCCTTCTCGAACTTAACAATAATGACGCCACCTCTTTAACATACTCGACGTAAGCGTATAAGTAAGGTATAACATTAGAATGAAATTAACCTAATCTGGATGCCCAAAACAGCATAAATACAAGAAAATTCGCTATAACCGCGCGAGTGGAATTGGAAGATTTTTAAAATCGTTTGATTACACATTAGAGGTTCTTGAAAAATTTTCTTCAGATATCCACATGTTGAGTACTCAATTATTGAACTACTAAAAAACTCCTTAAGTCTCGAACTATCAAACCCGTCCAAATGGCGTATTGTAAATTTCTTATTTTACTTTAGGTATCTATTTTGAGTGCACATTAAATGATTTTTGGACGCTGAAAATATGACGAACACAGTGACTGGAAGCTAACTTCATCAAGATGTCTCCAAGGATTTGCTACCTAAACGTCACGAATGGCGTCCGTGGTCACGAAGTTCTCAGATGTCTTAATCGAAGAGTTAACTAACAAAATTGATCGACTATAACAAATACTTACGCAAATAGGAACCATCTAAATCCTTAAACTCGCATCTCTGCCCGATATAACCGTTGGCGCATCTGCAACAAAAAAAGAACAAGCATATAAGATCGGTGTGTAGTGTCGAGCGTGTAGAAAACGTGGGGGAGGTGTGAGGGGGAGGGGGCGAGTGGAACGCGCCGTCGGTTTTATTGTTCCTGCGGGTACTTCCGCAAAACGCCGCGAGAAATCCCGGAAGTTATAAACCGTACTCTTTAGGCACGAACTGCTTTTAGTATCGGGCATTAATCAGATAGGTATACGTCGTCGCTCGAACCACCCAATTAGTACAGTTAATTATTTATTAAAGAAACAAAAAGAAGAAGAAAAAAACGAACAGACGCGGACAAGAAGAAAAGGAAAACGTTGGAAGGTAGTCGCGATGGAAAACGCATATTATAGGCTGTAAATATGTCGAGGGGGGTTACGGAGGGGTCCGCAATTACGCGATAATTAAAAAGATTCTCATGGCCGATTTCATCAAACGGTGCTGCGTGAACATTATTCTGCCCTTCGAACGGAATAATTAATCGGAATCACGGTGACATCGAGAGATGAATAATTGATCGATAAATTAAAATAATTATCCAGGTATGGACTAATTATTTTTTGGACATGTATATAGGTCGCAGATACAGAAAGATCAACGACGCGTTTTCGTATCACCGAACGATTCGATCGATATTCTTTTAATCGTTTCTTTCGTCCGCTTGGCGGAACCAAACCCGCTCGAGCTACGCTTCCGTTACTCCTACGCGATGGATCGTTAATATCGACGATCCTGAAAGACCGCGTTTACAAATGGCCTAAGGAGCCGTATGAACCGTTCACCTAAGAATCTAAGAGATTGTTCTTTTGAATATTTAACATGAATGCATAGGGGAAGGTTTCCAAATTTGGACCATCGCCTAGGTTGGATCACTAGTCTAACTTTTCGTGTGTAATTAATTTCTGCTATATAAAATACATATTGGCTATCACACGGTACAAATAGTTCTTCTCAACTTTCTGATGGTAGCAAATCTGTTAAATGATAATCATTAAAATTCAGGAGGTGCAGTAAAATTTATGATCGAAACAACAATCCACTGTATCGATATTCCAAAACAACGTCTAGAAATACAAAGTCATTTAATCAATATATAGGTGAAAAATGTCTTTGGATTAAAGCCACTCGAACGCTGCAAGCAAGCGTTGTTGGTAGCCGAGTTTGTCGCAGAAGGCTGAGTCTTCTCACGCGGGACCGTACGTGCTACTTTTTCCTTGTTTGCGCTCCCATAATTTCTGCGCGGCGCTGCGCGGCCAAAGAGGATTCCGTGAAGCGAACCTGAACGAGAAAATTCTCGGCCGTGGAAAGTGCTGGGATTAATAAGCGTTTCCACTTTCCCGCGTCTCCCGGTGTGGGCCGTATCCAACGTGGACACACACCTGTCTGCCGGCGATCGAGGAGATTTTGCGTAATCGTGACCACGGCGCACGCATGTGTCGATCACGGTGACGTCAATGCCGAGAAATCGCCCCGGGAAAACCAGATTTAAGGTTACCGGACACGGATAAATCTCGTTTCATCGTCGACACCTATATATATCGTTATAATTAAGCGTAGATACGGCTTGGGTAATACAGTTGAAGGACGTCGGTTGGATCGAGGAAACATTGGCTGAAAGTACGATAAATCATTGCGCCACAGGTTAAGCAGATGATTCTTGCCGCTTGGCGCGCTAGAGGACTGGCTACCAACGGCAAGAATCATTTACGCAGCAGGTAATAGATTAAGGGTGGGCATGTTCTTCGACAATAAGAGCCATATATTATGATAGTTTTCAGAATATTTAAGAGACAGGGAAATAGAATATTCTAATACTGGTACATACTATACTACCATAGATTATTAATATAAAAGTTTAGGAAAAATGGCTATGGATATAAGTATATTTTAGTTATGGACTAAAGTAACTTTGGGAGCCGCACAGTTGTCACTCTTCGAGCTGTCGTTGTCAATAACACGGTACTAATAGTATTCTATGACAGAATTTCTTTGGGAGTCAATAGGAAAGAGAACAGCAATGAAAAGGTTAACACTGAATCACCACACATTGGTATGTCATTCGACCTCTGATGAAACTAAACTGCAATACCAGACAATTTTCCGAAAGTACGTCATACACGGGAAACCTTCAACGGCAATAGGCGCCAATTCCAGAGACTATAATCCACTTTTCTCAGGTGCTTAAGGTGCGTATCCATTTGTTGCATACCTCCGTATCGTATCACCGTTGTGTATCAATAATTTGTACGGACAAGCGTTGCATCGTTGCGTATGAAAATACATCGTATGGTGATACGATACGATGCTACGTAACAGTGATACGATACAAATGGATACGTATCTTTATAAACGCCCACAGCAACAAAACTGTTAACATCGAATCACCAGACGGTACACACCTGTACCATCCTGTCGTAACTGCAATACCGATGCAACGTAGGAACGCTCTCCCCAATAAGGACTCTGGCCATACACCTGAGAACAACCGACCGTCAGGTCGTGAGAGCCTCGAGTCACGAATTCACCGCACGTTTCCACCCCGCAAGCGATCCTCCAATTACCATTTACCATTTTCCCCGACGCGACACCGTTTTTCCCAAGCGTCGCACGAAGAATCTACGGAAAAACGTTCCGAGGGACCCCCTTGGCCAAGTCTCGTCAGTATACAGCTTTCGAGGAATCAATCGACCAGCTGAATGGTCTCTGTCTCTTCGAAGGCCACGATCGGCCCGTAGACAGTAGCCCCTGGGTATGTACGTGTCGGTCCATGATCGGCGGGGAAACGAAAAAAGGTCCGATCGGCATACAATCGACGAAGCTCGTGGTGGTTGCAGGCCACGGGGGCGTCCCGTAGGAATTTCAACGGAACGTGTCGACGGCACGCAACCGGGGATTAACGCAGGGACGAAGGTCCCTTTTTTCGACCCTCTCTCGCCCGTCGGATCGCTCACGATTCTTCCTACCCCCGCGGCGCGTCGGCCGGATTCAACCCCACGGAGGGGTGCCGCGCGTGAGCGGAGAGAAAAAAAAACGTCGGCTCCGTGTAATCTGCGACACCCCCACCACCACGGGATCCAGGGTGATTCCCTTTTGAAACGATGGACGCGAGCGGGCATCCGTTCGGGATATTTCGTAAATTCTGGGAATGATGGATTTACTACGGGCATTTGAAGTCTCTTCCGTGTCACGGTGGAATTGGATCGTGTGTCGGAGAATATTCGCTTGCACAGGTGCATTGTGCGGGCTTGTTTTTATTTACGAGAGGAATCATCGATCTTGTATTTGTGGCGGCGAGTATGAAAGTGGTCTAGGTATTTTTGAAAATTGTACGTGACACTTATTCGACGGTAGAGATTTACGTGGCGATTATATGGAAGCATTTTTGCAAAAGATTCGATTGACTTTGGTCACTTTTGTAATCACCGCCGCAATTTTTGAGGTTATTTTGCGGGTGAAGGTTTGGGATCGCGACGCGTGGGAAATTTGAATTGCTGTGTTTCGAGTTTAGAATTGTTGACTGAGGAGACCTTGTTAAGTACTGAGAACGTTCTCTGGGCGTTTCTTAGACCTTTTTTGTATTCGTATCAACTTTATTTTACAGGGTTTTGTTTAGTGGGATATTAATAGTTACCAATATTTGAATTGAATTGTGAAAAGGCGATGACCAATTTGGACAAATAGAATTAAATGTGTTTAGGACAACGACCATCCTGTATTTTGGATACTTTTTTAAAGCTTTTATCAAATTGTTACTGTCTGATGATTCCATCCAATTAACAATAAATTACGAACCTATTTCCACACACGTTTGGTTCTAAAAAATGATCATGGAATTCGTATTTCCTTCTGAAGGTACATATACCCAGCTGTCTCAACCGGTCGTATATTTTCGAGTAATATGCCCGACCGTCTCCTATTTACAATGGGTGTGTCTCATTACGTAACATCCCGAAGCGTCTTCGCGACGCTGAAATTCCAGAGATAATACAAAGATATCGGTAATTCCACTATCGTGACACAGTTCTTTTTCTTTAAACTGTTTCGAATGACTTTATCTTATCGTGGACAAACTATCGTTACTTTTGGCAGGTCCAGTTTCACCAGGAATCTAGTGAAATTCTCGGAAGACTAATAAACTTGAAGGTCGTGTTATCGTATCGTGAAAAAGTAGATATGATTTTCTTTGTGCAAAAGTGGATTTAAAGTTTCGTCGATGCAAGCATCGTAATTAATTTCATCATTGATCATCAACGACCTCTATCTCTACAGTACTAAACGTGTCACTTAACTGACTATCCATCAACGAATAAGAACCATTTAGATCTACAAGTAAAAACTTCATCGTTAAATGTGAAACTAGTATAGAGAGATATGAATGCAAGAACCCATTTGGATCACAGAGTTCTCCTGTCGCTAAAGAAATGGACTCTGGATCTGCAAGAATTTTTTTACATATCCAACTATGACGGTCAACACGTCGGCAATTAACGAAATCGCATCGTCGGAGAAATAAGCCAACAAAAAGTTGACGTTAATGGACACAGAAGTTTACGAGCTCGTAAATCTACCTCGAGTCAAGAAATCCGGAATCGGAGTCTAAACAGGTATAAATACAGGAGTACCTGGACGTTGTTCCAGATCGTGAGGATTACCGAGTGATGGCTATCAGCGAAAACAACACTAAACTATACTTAAACCGAGACGACTCCGCGTCGAGTTATCCAAATTGTTTAACCTTGCGGAAGAACGCCGATTACCTCGACTCTGGATCGTTTACACGTCAATTACGAAGAAATTGCGAAACTCAAATCCTCAACTATCTCGTGTCGACCATTAAACAAATACAGAATAGCAATCGTTTATCACAAATTAAAAGGAAATTATATTTCTATCTAATATTGCATCAATCTACAAATAATCCGTCTACAAATCCACTGTATTGAAAAATAAAAAACCAGTTCTGAGGACTCTGTATAGTAAATAGTACATATCTGGGTCCACAGTGGCCCAGGGATCGACAACAACGTTCGATCCAATTTTCCGATTGATCAACATTCCCATAGAGAGTCCAGGTGCATTGTTAAATAGCCGACAACCGGAGAAATCGGTTCTCTGGCGGTGCTCCGAGCGTTAACATTTCGAGCGCGTCACGATCGCGTTAGAGGCGGCATAAATTAACCGTTCGAGAGGCCGACACAACGAATACCGTTTCGCAGAGGCCGCGCGGCCGATGGGAACGCGCCCGGTTATTTATTCACGGGTGGATTTCTAAAGTGAACAACAGTCAGGGATACCGATAATCGCGCGGCGGACAGTTTTATCGGCCACGAAAAACACACGGACCCGAAACGGCGAACGACATGATTTAAACTGTCCGCAATTGCGCGCCACTGGAGCAGCAAATATGGCGGCGGTGTTAACCGTAAGTGCGTCGACTCTTTATCGACGAGCAGTAAAGAATCTAACAGATTTTGATTAACTAGAGGGTGTGCCTTTAACGCTTCGGTTTCAACGGGCACACATTGCACAGGCGTTAAGGAAGAAAATAATCGTGTTGTACTTACAAACAATTGTATAGGAGGGATTCGACGATTTTGACAGTGAAACATGTGGCACCGTTCAGGCAGTACCATTCCGCATAATCCGGTGGACACGTGTACATGTGGAATGTGATGTTCGGTCGAGGCGTCGGCGTCGGCGGCCGTGGCTTTGGCGTCGACCGCGACGAACAGGCGTCTGTGGGCAGAAATAATACAAAATTATAATTACACTTCGAAGCTCGACAAATCGATTTCACCGAACGACCCGAACAGTACAGTAAATCCTCGATGAGTATTCGTAGGATCCTTGGCATTGAACGTTAAATATTTCATAAAGTAATGGCCATATCACTGTGTACATATCACTGATCTATCACTGTGCTAAACATCATGAAAAAGTGAGCCTTACACCTGGGCATCTTTCTTTGTCAGTGCCGAGGAGCCTTCGAACACTCATCGAGGATTTACTGTATACACAAATATTTGGTCCCAGTGCAACATAGTCGAAGAGAAAAAGGGATCCCATTGTCCAGTCAGGAATCGTCGATTGTCTTTCAAAACCGTGAATCAATAAAAGTGCGGCGTCGAACGAACGGCGAATTTGCTCGATTAAATTGTGTAACGACCAAAGGCCAAGCATCATTTATCCCATTACCGGTTACGAACCGCCGCCGCGGCAGTCGGAATTGTCGAACGGAATCTCCCCCCCCCCTTGCCGCTTTAGAAATTCCGACGGCTTCCAGGTTCACCGGAGGACAAAAGGGCGGCCGTATTTCCAGGGGCGGCCTAAGTGATCCTCCACCCTCCTCCGACCCCCCCGTGTGTCCCAATGCACACCCGAAAAACTTAACTCCCTGATACGATTCTTTTTCGGAAGCAAGCCCTGGGGCTCCACATCGCCCCCGATCCTTTTGTGACCTCCATTTCGTCGCTAATTTATGTTAAACCTCCTCCCATTAGGGCATCTTTCATACTTTCGACGGATGGACGGACGTTTTGATTTATTTTTTTGTGCGTGTTTAGGGCTGCGGACAAACTGATCCGGCGATCGGTGTGCTTTACATCTCAACATTTCTTTGGAAAGAGCTTGGTGTTCAAGGAAAACATCGATAATTATGATTTCGTGGTAATCCATTGGTTATCGTTTCTTGGTGATTCTATTTTTCATGAGTATTTTAGGCTCCGTTTTCTAGACCTGTGTCGATACGAAACATATTTTTTATTAACGTTTGGCTGGCGAACGTTTTAAATCTTTATTGATGTCGGTAATTCTTATTTAAGTTGGAAGTAGTTAAATTTAATTGATGTTTTTATGGACCAGTTCGTAGGAACAGGAATCAAATAGAAATTTGTTTACTCTGTTAAAGGCTCGATCAGACTTCAATTAACATAATAACCTCATGAAAGTATGTTAAATATTTTAATATGCAGACTTTTTTAGACTTTTCGCAATGCAAACTGACAGATTGAGTGTGTCAAAATTTGTCGAACGTGTCTTGTAGCTATTGTTCAAGAGTAAAAGCCGACAGAAATTCTAGTGTTTAATGTTTAATCAGAATGTTTGAAATTCTTGTCGATTTTATCGTTTCTCGTGTCAGTCTCTTATCGTTATCAGACTCTTCGCTGTTCTCAATATTTGCTCGAGCGGAATTATCATCGATGCGTTCGTCGTTAATTTCGATATTTGCCTTGTTTAAACAAACGTTGTCTTTTCTAGGTAACGGTTCTAGCGTCTTGAAGGAAGGTTAGTTAAATGTTAAAGAAACTGATGGTAATCCAATCTACCCCATTATATTATTTCTTTAAGAGTTGTGGATATATTATATCTTAAATGATAAATATCTTTCAGTAGATTGTCATTTAATATTTTAACGTAAAACTAGCCATAACGATCGTGAATTGATAACTTTGAAAATCAAATGTAGGCAAAAAAACGTGACCAAAAATGTCCACCATCGAATATTCTGCAAAGTTTAGGCTAGAAAATTTCATAAAACCATTACACTCAAAGTTTAAATATAATTTCGCATACATAAAATCCACATTCTGCTCTTATCGTGATTAAATTGGTGTTCATTCCAGCCACCCCTGTTGCACTCACGACGAAAAATTGTGCAAACGCCCCGAAGAGGCGGTCAGACGTGGCAAAAAGTGGCCGTAGGAACGCGAGGAACGCGAAATTCTCGACGATGATCAGTGCACCCGGTCGAACGGCTCCGAAATTACGGAAAAATTCCCGCAGATGCCCGTGTGCAAGAGGGCCTCATCAGCCGAGGAGAGGAACACGGCGTTCCTCTGCGGAACGCCGCCGGTGCAACGTTGCATCCGCCCGTGCAGCACGTCGCTATCTGTCACCTGTTCTAAGTCTTGCAATCTGCCGTACGCGGCTGGGCCTGATGGGCCCGAGCAATTCTGCGCGTGCCTGCCACCCTTTGTACCTCGGAACATTATCCCCGCGTATGTACGAAAACCATCATACCTTTGCAATTTTACACGTACTAAATTTAATTAAAAGATAATAAAAAACAAGGAGAGACAAAATCATTTCCACGCGTTCACGAAAAGCACTGTATATCTTTGTAATTTTACACGTACTAATGTAAATTGAAGGACAATAGAAAATAGACAAAATCATTGGACATTTTTTTCGCTCATAAACACTTCTTTCTGATTGTTATTATCGTGTTTCTACGTGTGCACAGAAACGGCTGTATCTTTGTGATTTTACAAATATTAATACAAAATACATTGTAATATGCTACTCATGTGTATTATAAAGAAAAGACAAAATCCAGTGTGCACTATACGTCTTTTAGCAATCGATTATTTTACTCAACTGATATTATTAGTGTATCATCTATGTGGTCCCGTCAAAAGTTAAAATTATTACCAGTTTAAAACAGAATATGAAATCCAATTGTACTATACTTTTCTGATTATTGACAATGAATTTAGAATTTTCAAAGATTTTATCGTTACTCCATCTCAAGCTAGAGTAGATAATCACTACAAAGAAACTTATCGGTTACCAAAGGGAGGTTCTAGAACACGAAGTGTACGCCAAATACCGGCAGAAAATTGAATTACACCAAAAAAATATCAATACATATATCGGTATGTGACTTCAGAGTCACACGGGGCTACAGAATGGGCCCAAGAATGAGGGCCCGTCAGCATTGCAAATGTTAAATAACACGTCGTTTTTTTTCACCGTCTTCTCGGAAACAGGGCCATGCGCGAGCGGTCTGTTTCGTTTAATAGAGGACGACACCTAGTCATTTCGAGGACGTAACGGTACAATATATTTTCTCGTAATTCGAACAAATTATTGCGTCCACCGTCGGTGCGACCCCCTTTTTTCCCCGAGAGGTGTGGTACTACTTCACGGCCGTGTCCTTTGTCCCCTTCCGCGATCGATTCGAGTCAGGGTTCCCCGGAGCACTACATGTTTAGATATACGGAAAATAATTCGGGGCCCCCTATACGCCACGTAATCGCGGATCATCGACATTTTAACGTCGCGCACACGTCTCGCAATCTATCGCCCCCCTGACGAACTGACAGAATCGCGTGCCATCGAGAATTGCGATGGAATCGCTTTCTATAGGGTAAACCAACCAGTAATTGACTGCATACCAGTGAATGACCATTAGGCAAGAAATGTAAATTATAAAATTACAAATTATTAAATGTTTATACATGAAGCGTTGTTGCATTTTCAATATCACATATTTTTAGTTTAGCTTATTAAACAAACATTAATAGGTAGAATTCTTATTAAAAATATTTCAGAAATAAAGCATTCATTTACTGGGCTTTTACACGTTTTGCACTTTATAATTAATTTTTTTTAATTATGATAAGAATAAGTAATTACTGTTACAAAGATTTCAAGAAAAAAGAATGTAATTGCAATATCAACAGCTGTTTTGTTGTTATAAATAAATACATTCAAGTATTAATCTCAAACTTCCAAAAATTCAACAATTCGGTCATTCACTGGTTTACCCTACCCACTACTAACTTCGTCACGATTGAAATAAAATTCGAAGAAACTAATAAACAGTGAAAAGTGGACGATCTATTTCCTATAAATCCTAACAAAGCACTATTCACGCGAAATACTAGGTAATTTTGATCAGTCCTAAAAATTTTGTATTAAAAATTTCGCATTAACTTCAACCATCACTATTTCTGCCAGTACACACATAATCTGCCGCCTTACAGCAACAAGTACCAACTCTAGGGCAACTAACCGCTTGAGCAATCGGTTGAAAATATCCCAGAATTCGGCGGACTACCATAAGTCGTACCTCCGCACGACCACAACTTCGATTCACATATCACGATTCATCGGGATCCATATTTCTGCACGATCCACACGTGAAATACCATCGATACCGCGCACGTATCCTCCATACAACCGTTTCACCCGTCCCTGACAATAACAAAACCAACCCTTATTCGAGAACAGTTCACAATTAATAATCCACTCCGAATAAACCAAAACTCCAAAGTGGTACCATCGCCACGTCGATCACAAGTAAACGCAACGATCTCTAAAAACCATAAAAAGTAAAACCAATTGTTCACTAACCTGCTATACCGAAGAGCGTGTAAGAGAGGATGAGTAGAGTGGCGAGGTAGGGTGGGATCCTGCATCCTCTCGTCATGGCAGTGACGGTGGCAGGGTTATCGGTGGTGGTCGTACCATCCGCGTGACGGTCGGTGGTTCGCGGATAGCGATGATCCTCGACGTCCTCGCGGTTTCGATCGCTCGGAGGTCGGTCGTCCCGTAGCCGTTCGTGTATACGGTGGAGATGATGGTGATGATGGTGGTGGTGAGGGTGGTGGTGGTGATGGTGATGATGATGACGAAGGTGATGATGCAGCCCGTGTATGTCCCGGTGACGAGCGTCCGTTGGCTGGCTCTGACACGTAGCCTCATCGTCGGCTTCCTCGTCGACGACGAGTACCTCGTCGCTAGCCGCTGCTTGCACGCTGTCCCTTCGCTGGTGACATCGGTGACGTTGTTGCTGTTGCTGGTGACGATGACTGTAGCGACGGTGTATATAATGGAGGTGATGTGGTCGGTGGTAGTTGGTGGTACTGCTGTCGCCGCAGCAGACCTCGCCATCCGCCACCGGTGAACTGACCTCCTCGAGTACGCTCGCTCCTACCGTCGTCTCGCATCCTCCTCCTACTACTACTACTCCCCTTCCATCGACGCCGGACCCTTCTCCCACCCCCACAACAGCCGCAGCAGCAGCCTCTTCTGTTTCTTCAACGGCACGAGCTCCACCACCTGGCCCCGAGCTCCGGCGCACGTGCCGCCGCCTCCCTGTAACCAAATATCCGAGGCAGACCCGGCCGTTTACAGTGTGTTTTATCTCGGCCGGTCTCTACTTGATCTAGCCGGCTGATCCATGCACCCGTACATACATACACGCATCATTTAATGTACACGCATACAGATGGGTGGTGAGGGTCGAGGGGTAGTTAAAACGCGCCACGGCCAACCGGCCGGCAACCAAACCTCCTCCCCTGCCTCCCACAAAACCCTGCAATATCCGCACACCGCGTGGGGATTCTTGTGTGTCGCGTGGGCCATGCGACGCGTGAAATTTTTTTTTTTTTTCTTCTTCTTCTCGCTCCTTTCGTTCTTTCGCCCCGCGGGATTCGCTTTCAAAAGAATTTCTCGGATGATCGGCGATCGTACGCACCGGCAGGTTGAGTTTTGGGAGTTTAGGGGGTGGTTTTTGGGGGAATTCGTTTCAAGGGGTGGTTGAGTTTTTGGTGGTTCGTGGATTTTCTGGGTTAAATGGGGATGTATTGACGGCGGAGTTGGGGAAATTCGTTAGCTGGATACAGAGTTTTGAGTAACGAATAGAAGATGAAAATGTACGGTGCGTGTTGTCGAGTGATTGTACGTAGAAGTTCAAAGTTTTGTTGAGCAATTATTTCACATTCGTCCGTCCCTTATTTTCCCAACTTAATTTTCTCCTTGATGTCGAATTGACACGGTGGTAAAAAATTAATATACTGACAAGATAGATAGTTGAATTTGCATATTCTTTAAAATAAAAGTCACGGAGCCTCAGCTAAATTTATTTACACATGACAACTGTTTAATAAAATTAATTAAATAACATCATTTCTTAGGAGGAAAATATGTCAAATTGGCACAAGGGACGGATAAGGGTTGATGTCATTAACTGTTTAGAGGTCGTGAGGAGTCGTAAAAAAATCGTAAGGATTAACGTCAACCATGTGAAAGTCAACATATTTCATGCAATTCCAGAATCATTCGACTTATCTCAAATGTACAAAGGATAACCTGAATTATATGCGTCACGTTCCATGCTAATTATATTCAGTAGAGAGGTATGAAACAGTAATAAAAGGGTCGGAAGAAAATCATTTTGAACGAGTTACCCTATTTCATCGTCCACCACCCTCCCATAAAAATATCCACTATCGAGCAATCGGTATTAACCTATTTAGTATTGAATATGAAATATACATTTCTGTCGGAGCAACGATAAACCTGTGACATCGAATAATGTCGTTCTTGCATGCAAGGAGTTTTCATAACTTTATGCCTTGTATTCGAACTAAAATAAGGAACAGGGTGACGTGTCGACCCTGATATGAAACTTCACAAAAGCAGAACCCTATTATTTCGATCCACATGCACCGCCAAAATTTCAAACCTTAATTATACCAGCAGGAAATTTTGTGTGATACGATCCTACAAAAAACGCGAGATTACTGAAGGACCCGATTAAAGGCATCGACTCGACCTGAATATAGAATCCTAAAAATCTGATACTATTATTTTACTCAATTTTACCGTTCAGTTTCGTGATAACAAAAATAAAATAAATCACCGTCACTAACCACATAACCTCCACTGTCATTAACCACACAACATCCACTCAAGGGTGTCCCCAAAAAACACTGTCCCATCAATTAATTCCCCAAAACTGGAAACCCTCTACACATCCTGTATAACCGAATCGGCACGAGGATCTCGATTTCCAGAAATAATACACAGAAAACAGACTAAACTCCCCAACGAACTCGTGGACGGAACAAACGTCGAGTGGGCCTGGTCTAAACGTTCCCGAGTAAATATTGTCGGATTGGCCTGAGGGGGTTGTCGCCTATTTCAGAGGGGTGGGGGGTAGTATGTAAACCAAGAGGCACGCGAACGCGATACTTTTGTGGACCAGTCGCCGGTCAACGGAGTTTCCAAAAATCTACCGGTTTTTCCCTTTTGGGACCACGGGCCCATTGTGTCCCCCGTCCATTGTGCCGTACCGTTTGCAGGGAAAATATTTGCCGCGAACAGAAATATTGTTTTCGAGGTCGGGGGACTCCCTTAAAACCATCTGCCACCCTCCGCGGCGACGATTATAGTCACCACCCCTGTGATTGGATCAGATTCCAACCGGCGGCGCCACGTCGAACGCACGTTTTAGTTTTTCGCGAGATTTTGGACCGCGATTAGCTAACTGGCCATTGTGTCGGGAACCTCAACGTCATATCGTGACAATAAGTAAACCTCGTAACTCCCCTTTTTATTATATATAAAAACGGGGAAGTTAAGTTATTAAAATAATCAAATTATTAAATGTTGGGTTTGTTTTCAATTCGAATCGTGTCAACCGATATGACACTTTTATTTGAGGGACCGCGCTAGATGATTTATAATTCAATTCATTTTAGTTATTTTCGCTTAACAAATATAGTGAATATTCTTGAAACATAAAAAAATATGCCTGCAAAATACCAACAACGCCTAACTGTTTCTTTGTAAAAAAAAATCCCCGAAAAAAGTTTAAAATATTACAGTCTAGACTAGATGTTACCTTGAGGCGTCAGGTGTTCGAAGCTTAATGAGTTTAGAGGAATCTCCCGTCTCGAGAAAAAGAAGAATTACATAACTCTGTACGTGTATAGTTTTAAAACAAATTGTTTGTTTCTCCTTGCGACGATTGAAAACAAACTAAGACTTTATTAACCGATCCCATAAATCGCCGTATTTACCGAGCCGCGCGTTCGAGATCGAAAACAACTCTCGATACCGTCGCGATACGATTATAACCGGAATTGTTTTTCAGAAGACATTCCAGATTTCACGAAGACCTTGTCCCACTAAACGCCGTGTCGTAATTGCCGTGGATTTTCTCGTCGTCTTTTTTTTTCCCCCGAGGGCAAAAACTCTGCATATATATGTAACTTGACCGCTATGATACGTGTCAATTAACCCAATAAGATCGTTAAAATCGGCTCGGTGACTTGAGCAGCTGACGCGTTCACTGTTAGATCGATCTTCATTAAAATTATCGATTTATTCGGGTCGGTTTTTTTTTTTTTTTTTTTAAATAATAAATATACAAGATAGAATGTAGATTATAGTATACGAAAAAATATTGTTATTCATAGATAAATATAGTTATCTGTGAATATTTAATTTAATTCGTACGGGTGAAAACCCTTATTTTACAATATGTGATTAAACCGTTCCGGCACATTAATACAACAAATCATCGAATGGAGTTTAGGTGAGATATAACAATAATAAGAATATTGGTGATGATGCAATACTACGTGCAGTTAATAATAATTCAATGTAAATTAGTAATTAGAAAATAATAAGATCTCTAGAAAACAGAAAACACTAAATCACTGACGACACAAGTAGAAACAGAAAGCAATGAATAGACACGTTACTTCATCACAAATCGTATGCAAAGTAGGCTTTCTATTAAATAAATGAAAAAAGACTTGATTTTCGTGAAATGAACGTTTCTGTGAGAATGATATGATTCACATTCTTAATTTGCGTTTATCAAAAGAATCAATAAGTATAAATCAACAAATACGACGTTAAGTTTTCCGTGGATACAATCGAATTCCATAAACTTCAACGAAATTCCAGTGAATTAACGCTTGAGTGGAACTCATGGATCAATAGGCACTTGAAATAGAACTGTAAATTGTGTCGCTTCTAGGTGGATGACACTGGCAGAGCTCCGCCGTTGGCGACGATCGTGCACCGGCCACACGATGATTCAGAGGATCGACGCGTCGAGGCTCCTTGCCGAGGGAAATTAGCACCGTTTAAGTATCGCAACATTTTCACGGAACTCGCCGGTGGTGTCTGTGCTCCCGTTCGATTAGCATATTAAACGCGACACACAAAACTGACGTCTTGCGTCAAATGTGACGTCAATCGTCGGCTGAAACGTTCACACTCTCGAGCCCGAACCGACAATACGAAGAAGGGAGCTAATGATGTCCTTTGACAGATGTGCCTCGAAATGACAGTGACGACCGAAACGATGCGTAAGAATGAAATTTTTCGATTTGCATAATAAAAGAAACTTGGGATTTTAATTCATAGTTGTCACAATGGTTCCTATAGTCGGAGTTCTTTGTTACTCGAGACAAATGTGTTTAATAATTCCAATTGATCTTTAGAAGGCAATATCCTTTATTACAGGATGAATGAATTTTTTGATTTGAACAAAAAAACGTTTATAGAAGAAACCATTACGTTCTATTTATACTTGTATACCGTGTGTGCTATATTCATTGTCCTGAGATTCACATTATCGAGAGTACTAATTAGTCAGAACGTGTGTTTAAACGGGTCAATCCTTCCTACGAGTCTGTAAGTACATACACATAGTTTACAGTGGTCGTGTACATAATAAACTGTCGAGTAATTAACATCTCTGTGCGAGGAGAACGTAAAATTGTCAAGAAGGTAAACGTCTATGGGAACGCATATTAACACCTTCGGGATGAGAAACACAGATTCACGTCTCCATGAAACGTTGATGGCATTTATTGCTACAAGGCCTTTTTTCATGACTTTCGACTACTAATTGTACTCTTTGTCACTCAGAAAAATGTGAATTGTCTTCTACGACTACTCCTCAATTAATAATAATATTAATAACAACACACAAAAGAGGCTCCTAAACAACAAATTTCAGAGAACCGTCCAGATCGAGATCTTTCGCAGAACTGTAAATTGTTTCCAAAGAAATCACTCAACACAGTCACGTTCCGTCGCGACGAAAGCAATCAGTATCGCTATCGGAACGACATACAGCATAAAATTTCAAAGCGGTTTCCTCGCTGCCTATCTTGACCCGAATCTCGACTGTATTCACGATTCCCCCAACGACGAAAATCGTAGAAAAAAGTCGTTGCCGGTGGCGCGCGGCGAGGCGAACAGCGAGCGCGCGCCTCGTGAGTCCGGAGGAGACCGGAAGTTACGGTAAAGTGCGTGCAATTAGAAAATAACCTAAATTCAAGGCGGTT